TCATCCCAGTGGTCCTTACTGTTGTTACACCCCTTGCATCCTTCCAGACAACTCCTCTCCTTGGGGCTTCAAACACTTGTAGGTGTTTATCCCTCTTTAGCTGTCATTAGGCCAAGTCATGCATATGCATATCTTTTAATCTTTTTTTTCCTCACATCAGTTCCTTCAGTCTTTTAATCATTTGTGTTGCTCTTCTCTAAATTACCTCCAATTTGTCTATGCATCTCTGGTTCTCAGGCACCATGAAGATGCTGTTTAGACAAATCTGCCTCTGAGGACACAAGTTCATAGAAGACTTGTTAATGCCTTTATGGTGGAGATATTTCATTTTGCTGCTGGACACTGTGATTTTAAACAGGCTTTAAAAAAATGGGCACACGGTTATATCCTTGCAGAGCACAACAAAAGGTGACTGCCATTCAGCCAAGCCTCTCGTCTGTCCCTCATTGCTGCAGTACCTGCCTCTCTTCCAGCACTACTCCGGGCAACTTGTTGAAATGTTTGTCCTCTCCTCACTTCTTGTCCCTCCTCAGGGCGAGAGGGAAGCTTCATGCAGCTGGATGTCTTGTTTTCCCAGGCTTTCTGTTATTAATAAACACATCACTATGCTTCTTTATGTCAGAGAAAGGAGATGCAACTTTGGACTTAAGAGCAGAAAATGGGAAAGTTTCGAAGGAGACTTGGTGTGTCCATGCTCTGGGCAGGCAGCAAATTGCTGCACATCCAGCAACTTCACATCCTCTTCATCCCGCGCTGATGCTGGCCATGACTGCAGCTCTGCGCAGCTCTGGCAGTCGTTAGTACCAGATCCTCGTTATCCACCGGATCCTCCCAACAGCCCACATGGGAGGCATCACTTCCCTCCAGCTTACAGTGCAAGAAATGGGGGCAGAAAGGTGACACAACCTGTCCAAGGCCACGCAGAGAGCTGGGGGATGAGCTCAGGTGAAGACTGCTTGGGGTCTGGCAGAAATCCTTCATTCTTCGGACGGCTCAGACCATCGTGGTTTCCAGACAGTAAAGCCTCCATTATACAATATATTTTTTTTGCATGAGTTCGCCGGAGTTGTAATAAGCTTATCAAGGGGATAACTGTTAGGATAAACCTTACAATCTTGTCCATCAGTCAGGAAGAGAAATAAATGGAAAAACCAGTAAATTCAGCTTTTCCAGATGTGTCAGTTGGCTGCAGGCTTTCCACTCAGTGACAAGCAATCAAGAGGACTCCTACAACCAGCGCTCTGCGCCCACTGGCACAGGGAATTACCTACCTAGTCCAGACCTCACATTGCAGGTTGTTTCTTTTGGTTCGACTGATTTTACATGACTGCACTACCAGCAGCATTAAAATAGGTCCACAAACATTACCATATGAGCTGACGCGTTGCTCCAATGCACTGATACAGTTATTTATCAAATCCTAGCTTAAGACGTATGTCATTATCTGAACTGCCTTTCTGTCTTATGTAGATGGATCAGTAACCTTTAAAGCATTGTTATTCCCTCTTTGTAACAAGGCTCAGGTGCTGGTTTTTTTGTAATCTCACAGAACACTTTTATAAGCACCATAAGACTTCTTATGAGCACAATTTGCAAAATTAGAAGTCAGCCACAACTTTTCAACTTGCTTTGCAAGCAAATCCTGGTTCCTTCCCTGCCACTGCCCTCCAGCCTGGTGGGGAAAGAATTAACAAAAGCAGAAAGAATTTGATACCCGAAGAAGAGCTTTTAGAAAGGCAGAGAAGAGCAGGAAGATCGTGAACTCAACGCCGTTCCAGGAGAATGGGAGGCTCCACTGAAAATCTCCTTCCCAGAGGCTCTCAGAAAGGGATCTGGACAGGAGGGGAGGCGGTGATGGATAAGTGGCACAAGGAGCTGCGGTGTGCGGAACACAAGTGGTGAGATTTACTGTCCCCAGGCATAAGCTTGCACTCCAGAGTGACACAAAGCCATTAAAGCACAAGGAGTTTTGGAGGGCTGCAGCTGCCCTGAGGGCAGAGGGTGCTGATTTAGAGAGAAGGCAGCTTCTCCAGGCTCCTCTGCGGGGATGTCTCTGCTGAGCGATCCCTTGCCAGGCTTTGCCAGGGAAGATGGACGTGCAGGCAAGACAAAGAGCACAGACCTTTCCCTTTTTGTGCCAGACATCCACCTTTGGGAGAATCACCAACTCAGTCCTTCAAAGAAGCTCCAAAGAGGCATTTTAATCACCTGCCATTGGAGCTATTGAAAATAAAAATGTGACGATAGAGCCTGACCTGTCAGGCAAAGGGAGATGGGGAGAGGGGAGATATCAAGAAAGTGTGGGCCCTGGAAATAAAGGCCCTGAAAGATTTAACTGCCTTTGGGAGACAGAAATACAACCAGACCGGTCACCTGAGGAGTGCAGTAGAGCTGGAGCGATGTCTTGGGGTTGTTGCAATTCACGGCTAAAACCTCTCCACCAGCCCTCCCAACAGATCCCACTGGCTGGGTGCAGAAGCAACAATCCTGTTGCTGCATTGGTGTCCTCCACGTGCTGGTTCCCCACCCCACAGAGTCTCAAAAGAGCTGAGTGAATCCGCCTCATGAAACCGTGAATAAAGTCAAAATATCCATGCACAGCTCCTGCAAGAAGGTCCACCCGGCGTTTGCTATTGCCGTGGTCGCCCAGTTCTGCAAAGCTCTGAGCAGCCTGTGCACCTCATGGGAGCGTGGGCACTTCCCGGCATGGTGGGCCTTGCTGCACACCGAGCACAAATTTTCACTCATCATCTTTATCAGAAATAAGATTATTTAGGTCTATCTTCCTTCCTATCCACCGTCAGAACTATTTTGTTCCTGGGCTCTGAAAATGCAGAAGTCATTATTGTAAAGATGGTACTTTTCATGGTAAGTATGAGTTCCTACTTTTAGAAAATAAGTACCTATTTAACTAAGAGCTTTATAATAGATCAAACAGTGTACAGGGTACAAAAATGTGAGAGCTACAATCCAAAGAAACTAGTTTAGTGGTAGGTTTGGGCATGAAAATAGTTATCTGCTTGGTATCTTTAATATTAATTTATTCAAGACACTCATCTCTGGATAAATACAAATTAAAAATTAAAAGCCCTTGTAAAGTAATGCATGAAACCAAAGCACCACAGAGAAATTTGGAGAAGCAAATAAAACTGCCATCATAAACTACAAAGCCACTGAAGAAGCAGGGCAGAGGGGAAGGCAACTTGGAAATAAAAAACACCCAGAAAACCAACCCAACCACAACACGAAACAAAGAGAGGAAGAGATGGCGGTGGTGGCAGCAGCGAGAGTGGGGCCAGAAAAACCACCACTTAAAAAAATAAATGTGTAACATCACCGCAGCAGGGCGCAGAAGGAAATAATTTAAACCAGCAATTTTGAAAATGTAACCCAGACCGCCTGGTGAGTGACACCTTCTGTTTGCACCAGGCAAACAGGCTCCTGCCGCAGGGCTCCTGTACTCCGGCCGCTGGGAATAATCCCCGAGGTTGCACTACGTTCAGAGCTCAGAGCTGCACAGAGCGGACTGCCGTCATCAACATTTAAGCAAGCAGGGAAATACTCCGTAAAACAGTGTGTTTTTCAAGGCCAGTGAGAGCCAAAAAGGGGCCCATTTCAATAAATTAATGATATTGTGTAGATGTTTTAGGCAATAATAATATTGGGCAATACTAAATGGCATCGCTGGCACATGGAGGAGGGGGTCAGAGAGAGCGGCGGGTCCCCAGGACGGGACTGCCCTGCTGAGCTACCTCACCTGCTCACACGGGGCAGGACAAATTTGGAGAAAGGCCCTGGGGGCTGCAGCCTGCTGGCAGGGGCCAGGGGCTGAGCCGGCAGCGCAGGCAGCAAATCCCATTGTCCTTAACGCCCCTATCCTCACCCAGCAGCCCGGTCAGGTCAGGAATTGCTAGTTCTCCCACTTTCCAGGTGAGGGCCAGAGGTGCAGCTGCTCCGGATCACATCCAATGACGCATTTAATATCCCCGTGCACATTTAAGTGCTTGAATTCCCATTTAAATCAAGAAGGTACAGCCTTTCATGATGTGGGATGGCATCAACAACGCGTGGCCAGCTGTTTCCCTGAGTCACAGTCTGGTCCATAAGCAACTGGACTGTCCTCCTTAAACTAGCCAAAACTGTGAGCAGGGGTCAACAGAAGTTGGCCTTGCCAGGATGGGTCACCAACTTTGACCTCCAAAGGAGGGGAAAGGGGGAAAACAACTTTCTCATTCTGGGTGCTGTGGGGAGAGCTGGCCTCCGAAAGGAGAGATTTCAGGTTCAGACCACCGCAATTCACTACCCACAAAAGCCGACTTGCAAGGCTGCGCTGAAGGCAAGTGGTAGGTTTTTAAATATCACCAGGGAAGTCTTCTGGTCCCAAGGACAATCATCAGCCTCCAAACAGTCATCGCTTCTAGCATTTATCTGGAGACAGTGCTGAGCAAAGTAATGCATTTAGTTTCTTGAGTCAAGAGCCAACTGCACAGCTCAGATGGTTGAGGAAAGGCTAACTCTAATAAATATATAATACCCAAGGGGTTATCTAAGCAGCCAATAAAGATACAGAATCTTTTTTTTTATGTGCTGAAGTTACACTCATTCAGTATGTGGCATCAAAAGAAATACAGATTTTCTGACAGATTTTCATTTCCCACTGTTACTAATACGCATCCCCTTCTTAAAGCAGCATCTCATACAACTCTAATCCTTCCCGATTTATCTCCGACCAAGCCTGCAGCCAACAACTCCAGGCCTTAGCTTTGTACCATGCATGTCACAAACGAGGCTTTGATTCTACATGATCAGATAGGGGGATCAGATTTTGAAATTACATACATTTTGTGCATAGCCTTCATTCCCTTTCTCTTTTTTTTTTCTGAACTGCCCATCCCATCTCCTACACATCCTCACGCTTAAAATTGCATTGGGACAGTTTCTGTTTTAAGAGAGGCATTCATGGGAATGGAGCAGAGTGAGGCTGCTGAGATTATTTTTACCTGAGCTCTGATTGCAGCGTCCTTCTTAATCCACTTTATCACTGTTTCATACACCAGCTCCTCCGCTTTGGTGTTCAGGCTGTCATTAGACATGTAGGAAATGAAGTCGTCTTTTGAGATATTAAGGATCTCTTCTTGGTTTGCCACCTCTGGGAAAATCTGCAGGGCGTATGCTTTGGCCATGTTGTATAGTTCAGTGCACTGCATGGCTTCAGCCATGGCTAATATTCCTAAGCAGTTGCTAGCAGTCAGCTGTTTCTCTAAAAGGAGCCAAAAAAAAAAGGAAAAGGCAAATGAGAATTATTAAAAGCAAGATTCACATTTTTACCGAGATCATGAAAAAGTATGTGCCACGGACAGACCTCCAACCCTAATTAATTTCAGGGAGTTCATTAAAAGCAGCACCCTGGGTTACTTTAGGATTGGGGTTTAAAGTATAAAAATCAAAGTCTGTCTAACAGCTGAGCTGGGGATGGGGAGACAAATGCACTTTCTGAGTTTCCTTTTCGTGTAAGCCTCCACAAGGCACTGGGGAAACCTACTGACATATTAGTATCTGGGGTTCCCCAAGGGACGGGAACCCAGCCAAGAGCCTGCTGTTATTTCTACCGCCTACAATGTTGCTTTAAGAAACAGCAAAGATGTAAACGCCAGTGCAGACACTTAAGAATAAATGCAAACAGCACTAAGGACATTTCTGAGGATGCTCCAATCGCTTTATGATAATTTTTGCCCTGTTCAGCTACTAAGCTACTTCAAATAAAAAAAAAAAAATCCTCCCCCCCCTTTTTTTTTCCAAAGGAACTTTGTTGCTGCTGAATGTGATGACATCCCTTATGCAAAACACAGATTATACTAACGCCTTCTGTTAAATGTTGTGTAGTGGGTTTCAAAGAAAATCATGCACAGAGAAGACAGCATTATCTCCTACCCAGCAAACAGAACTAACAGCACAGTGTGTAGCTTTGCATTGAAAGTGCACTACACCACACATTTGATTGTACTTTTTTCCTTTTCAGCTATTCTGAAGAAAAACCCACCAATTTCAGACATTTATAAGAGGAACTCTCAGATTCTTCTCAGCTTTTGTTAACCAAGCCACTACTAATAGGCAGAATATTCTTTTAAGATATAGGACCAAGAGAAAAAACCCAAGAGAGACAGACTGCAACAGATCACAAAAGCATCGGTACCAGTGGCAGGCTTCTGCGTTGCCAGAGAAGTCTACCACGTTTGGGCAGTGTCATATCCTAGCGCGCTATTACAGAGCACTGGACAGGAACGTGCGATAGCCCCAACATCTCTTCAAACAAAACTCCCATCAGATTGCTTCTGCTGGAAATGCTCGGGGATTTTTCCCTACACCCAGCTTCTGCCTTCATCAGATTTAAAACCCACACAAAATCTATACGTGGCTTTTATTAAAATGGGATTATGACCTACTTTTATTTTTAACCTGGCATGAGATTAGGAGTTTTTATTTTATTTTCTTTTTCAGATCCACCAATCTTCAAACTAGGTTATCTGATTTTGCATCAGTTGACTGTACTGACTCTATGGAGCCCATTTCCTCAAGCCGACTGGAGCAGCGGCACTGTTTGCTGTCAGTAGATTTTGTCACTCAAAGACTGCCCAGAGACAGGCTGCAATCTGATAGCTATGAAGCACAAAGCTTCCAAAATTTCTACTTTTAAAAAAACAAAATCCCCCCAAACCTCTTCCAGGTTCCTTGGTTCTGTCTGTTGGCACAGTTTCATGTATACATATGTCTGGGGGTCAAATAATCATCTAACAGAGCCCAAAACTCTCATCATCACTTGGCAAACTCTCAAGTCAAAGACAAATCTTACACTGCTCCACCTTATCCTCACAGGATTTATAATAAAGGCAATAACCAAGTTTGAATCGTTAAGCAGCCATTTACTAGCACATGATGGAAAAGACTTGCAAGAATGAGTCTTTGCCTTCAAGGGACTGGGTCTGCCTCTATCAGGAGAGATTCCCATACCATCCCCAGCTGAGCCTGTGGTGTGGGACAGAGAAAGCACTGGTCACAACTGGTTTCTTCTGAGCTGGACAGGTTTTTCTACCTCTAACAATGCTGGGTGACTGATGGAGCCTGGTACACCGGTGCCAAAGCAGCTCCATGTTGTCCCTTTGAGCTTCCCTCCTTCCTCTTCCCCGACACACGGCTCAGTGGCAGACCCAGGTGACGTTATCCCTGCCTGATTCAGCAGGTACGGTAAGGCCATTTAGAGAGGGCTTCTGGGGAGATGCAGACTGTGGTATGGTCAGGAGGCAGAGGCTGCCGATGCTCTTCTTCGCGCTTCATCACTTTTGATGTGATGAGCACCACAGCAAGGTGGGCGCAGTGACGTCTTTTTAAGATGAGGGTTGGCATGTGAACTAGAGGGATTCATTGCAGGTGAGCAAGACAGAGGTTGGGGCAACAGCTATAGGAGGTATGGAAAATCTCTATCCTGTGAACAGAAAAGCACATCCTCCATTTCTCACCTCTGACTCAAAATTTGGGGGTGACATTGATCCCTCCTGACTCCAGCTGTCTGTGGTGCAACTGAGCAATCACAGTAGTATCCCTGTACACTCATAAACAAACAATTCCAAGGAGCGATCTGGTAGTATTTTGGATTAGTCTGGTAATATTTTGGATAACGACTTCAGGATGAGCAGAACTGTGCATTAGCCTATTACTCTTCACTGACTGTAAAGGGAGCCTACATGGCTACTTAGATACAGGCTTCTACTATACAGTATAGCCCATCCCAAGTGACTGCAATCCGGGGGCACTTCTGGATGCCAACATGACAAAGACAGCTAAGGACCAGTTCTGCTCCAAGCGCTCCTTTGGATGCTGACATGTTTACAGTAATTGCTGGTTTTGCCACTGTGACACTGGACTTGTAACAACACATTTTTGTGGAGTTTCACCTTGAGTCCATTCAGAACATGACTGATGACTACTAAGCTATTCCCCATGCTCAAGGACAGTTCATAACAGACTTATAAGTGGACTTTAAGGATATCAGATGTAATCTAGCAGGTTCTCAGTGGTTTGAGACAGTGTTGGATAGCATACTTGTTTCTATGTATGTCTGCAATATTGCAGATCAGCAGCTGGTATTCTCCACTTGTGTTAAGACGTGATTTTGAAATGGGATCCTGTGCAGAGTCATCAGGAGATAATCAGCCAGGCACACTGCTAAGACTGCACTTCTGGGAGTAGGACGACTTGAGATAGAAGTCGGAGATAGATGGTATGTAGGAAGGATTACTCAGCGAGATTGCGGTTAACAGTATGATGGAAGCTCAGTGGTTGATGTTACCCCCCTCTGTGTGCATTAAGTACTGTATTTTCACTTAGAGGTGCTTTCTAGATGATGACTTGGGTATCACTAAAATTAGCATAAACGTGCATTTCCTCATCATACTCTGTGTACATTCTGATGGGGATCTTACTCCTCAGGTATTCCTACTAATGTTGAAAGCATGTGAAGATGGGAGATAGGTGGAAGACTTCCAGATGCATTCACTGTCCAAAAGATTTCACTTCCCCTGTGAGAGTGTTCCTCATTTCTCCTATCTCCAGATATGGTTGATGCTTCAGTTTCTCCAATGCTGGGCAGTGTGTTTCTCCAGCTGGCTCAAAATTCTCCACCTTGGATGAACAAAAAATTACCCACAATACTTTCTCTTGAATTCCTAAGGACCATAAAGGCCTCTTCTTCCCTCAGGTGCTTATGCCTATTCATGCAGGTCTCATCACTGGTCTGTCATTCAGTTTTTCTCATAGCTCCCGCTCATACTCTTTGCAAACTTTGTCTTTGCGCCCTTTGCCCAGGAGACTAAGAAAATTCAGAGCTCCTGCTCTTTCCTATTCTGCTCCACGAATCTAACAGGTTCCCCCAACTTCTTTAGACTTAAGGAAGAACAGTTTTATTTTATCAGCAGCAGGCTGAAGTACAAGCTTGGAATTTGTTCACTCCTGTGATGGGGGGGTCCCTGCATCATGAACCCCTAAACCATGATACTGATTAATCTCCTGAAATCCGATTTAAGCCATGACTGTGACGATAGTGTAAAACAAATATAAAAAAAAAAAAAAAAGAAAAAAAGAAAAAAACCTCAAGTCTTCAGCCATATGGATGGAGGAAATACCTATGATGTCCTGACCGGTTTGCAAACATTTGCCCAGTTATCATATGGCGCCTGCATGAACTTGTCAGCATCGTTGCATCAGTCGGCACAAAACTGTTGTCGTTTCTCATGGTCTAGACAAAAGCAGAGGAGACAGCATGTGGGGGAGAGAGAGAACGCGGCTATAATTAGCCCAGTGAAGCTGCTTAAGAAATCTCCCATTGAAATGAAACAATTTTCCTGACACATTTGCAGCACGTTTCCACCAGAAAGTGCAAGCAGAGTTGGGGTGCCTCTGCCCAACGCTGCTGAGAGGCCCAGGACAGAGACACAAGAGCTGCCTGGACATCAACCAGTTAGGACCCTGCTGGAGCTTCACAGATGAAAAAAGGATGACCTGAATTTCCTCTGAGATGCTGCTGTGCTATGCTGAACAGACCTATTAATTTGGGGCTTTTACCTCTTTGGGCCTCTTTGGACTTCCCTCTACTTCTTTCACTATGTAGACATGGGCACTGATGAGAAAGGATCATTGTTTATACTGGTGAATCCTCCAGAAACCCTGGAAAAAAACCTGATTTTTACCATATTTTTGCTTTGTGGGGAGCAGAGATGGCTGGGATGAAAAGAAAAAACACAGCCACAGAGAAGACAAAATGCCTCTCCCTGAACTTTTTAGATGGCAAATGCTCTACTATCTCTGTAGAGCAATCCAGTCACAGCTATAAATAAAAATAAGCAATTACACTCCATGAATTCTCCAAATGAGAATACAGAATTCCAGTGACTCCCCATATATCACTGAACTTATAACCAACTCTACTATTTCATACCATAACATGGTTCACTGAATTCAAATATTAACTATCGGAAAAGAGAAATCTCACATTGATTTAGTGAAATAAATGTATTTTGGTTTTGTGGCTGAATCTTTAGAGATAGCACAACTTAAGCATATCCGTTCCTGGAAAGGCCGTAAGATCTAATCACTTTAAAAGGTGGTGAAGGGAAGCTGGGGGAAAGCAATGCCGGAGCCAGAGCCCTCGCTCAAGTTGCACAACCAACACAGTGGGATTGCAAAGCATAGATTTCATTTTCCCATTACCCACCCATTTGAGAACAGTCTTTTAAACAAGTGACATATAAAAAGCTGGAAAGAAGAGAAGAATACAATACCACAGATTTGTTACTGATGCCTGCATTGTACCAGCCTAGTCACACTACTCATCTTACCAGCAGGTCAGCTTAGGAGTGCAAATTAACACAGCAGTAAACTGGACTCATTTGAGTTTGTGGTTTGGTTTTTTTTTAATGCGTGCAATATTTTCTAAACTCTCATCTTCCACACTCTGTAATTCTAGATGTCAATTTTAAATGAGAACTGCCCAAGAAGAATCTATAGTTCATGTGGGTTGAAGATATATTTGGGGTGCAGAGAGAACGATATCTCCTATACCAAGTTGAGGGAGACTGAATAGAAATCAGATGTCCAAAAAAGGTATTTGGAACTTGGACATGGGAAGAAAGTCATATAAGACCAAGCTCACACTTTTTGTATTAGTAAGTTTGTCTTAAGAAGTTGTAAACTATTGCTGTCTCATTAACTGATATTATAGCCATGTTAGCGAAGGAGTGGCATGTGATACAGATAGGAATTTGAACCAACATGTGTTTTATTTGAGCTCCAGTTCTGGCTCCTCTTCTGCCATGACAGAAATGGGGCTGGATGGTTCCAGTTCAGACGAGTAAAGCTTAGTTAACTGAGATGGTCACCTTGGACTGTTTTGAAATAGTCTATGTAGAAAAATACACAGAAAATGCAAGGAGCAGGATGACATGGTGCTCCAGACAAGAAGGAACAGGCTTCTCATGTGGCCATGAGAGGATGGACAGAGGCACTGGTGATGATGTTGATCTGTACACCCTCGCTGGGGCACACACTCCCCGTGCATGCAGGGCACACCAGTTACCAAGGGAGGGCAACCTTTCCTTCCCATCCACCATTTGTGATGACACATATCCATCAGACCGTAACTCTGTATGAAAGAACAAACTCTGTGAACATTGAGTCTGGAGTAGTTCAACCAGATCTTGTTTACAAGAACACTGGACATGTGAAGCACTTTCTCACGGAAGCAAGAAAATTGCAGATCCTGTCTCCTCTGTGAGAGCCCACCTCCAACCGTTTCAGTGCTTGACCAAGCTGGCCTGGTGTAGTACCCAACATTTGCTGTCACAGTTAAAAGCAACCTGTGCATTACAGCCTGGTATCTGTGCACAGATCAACCTCTAGGAAACAAAATATCACCATGATACCAAGAAGATTCAACAAAAAAGTCTATCCAAGATGCAAAAGCAGTTGCCATTCAAACAACAGGCTGCACTTCTCTAGGTCATTTTCCACTGGCCCTGTGTCAGCATTTTAAATTCAAAACTCAACCCAAATAAATAATGTGGGTTTTTTAAATTTTATTTTATTATCTTGGGTTTCCTAATCATTTTTTAAGAGCTGTTAGAAGAAAGGCTTACAAACCTTAAAACCTCACTAGATGGAGTGATTCTTACCTAGAAATGAAACGCAGACTTTACAGAAAGTATGAAACTGGAACTTGCTGGCAGCTTCCAGTAGGGTTTTTGCATTGGCTGAATCTATGATCAAAGAACCTGTATAAACAAACTCCAGGAGTAATTCCAGGACATCCGCAGTGAGGTTGGACATGGCCAATTCCAGCTTCTCCCCACTTCTGCTACTGTCTCGTGGTGACCTGGCAACAGCAGACAATTAAATTATGGACATTACACCATCCCCATTTTGTTGGCATATATTGATTAGTGAGGGCTAGAAAATCGCTTTGCACCTCATTATATTTCTCCATTTTTTTTGTTTATGGAACTGAAGAATATGAATTTTAAAATAACTGAACTTAAAAACTTTAACTGCATCTGAAAGAGAAGAGTCTTAAAGCAAGTCTTACGAAAATTCTGGTTTATTGCTACTCTGCATTTTCATGCAAAAACAGTTGCAAAAGAAAAGGAAAGGAAAAGAAAGAAAGAAAAAGAAAAACGAATGAGCCAACATTAATGAAAATGAGGAACAGGATTAGCTTTCAAAGGGAAACAATACATTTTAATGTCTTGGTTAACATCTCATCTTCCACGCATAATATAACTGTTAAGGAAGAAACACTCTCCAATTTCAAGAGAAAAGGTCATCTACTTTTTCAGGAATCCAGCACTGGAATAATTTTAAATGTCATGTGCATTTAAGGATACATTTAAAGACCTTTTCATAAAAAATAACAATAATAAATATTAATTTCTGTTTAGCTTGAACTTCTCAGTGTGTTATATTAAAGTATAGATATGATAGATATGCTATGCATATACAGATGGTAATATTATTTTTTATTTATAT